GCAGAGCGGATGAGTTTCGGTGGCAGCACCGTCCTACTTCTAAAAGTCAAGGACTATATTAAGCAGTTGTTTGACTGTTTGCCACAGGTCGGAGTGCTTGTGAATACTATTCACGCTGAGACCAGTGCAGGAGCTCTGGAAGTTGCCACAGAGCCTTCGTTTGGAATAAAGGCTGCTGATGACGCAGTCATGGTTAGGAATACATGCAAAGATATCGCTCTTTGTAATGGGTATACTGCACACTTTCTAGCTGACCCCAACTGGAATGCGCATGGATTTTGTCTTGATTTCAACCACTCCCTTTGGGACAAGACTGGTAACGTCATATCCAACAAGACAGGTGACCTGACTGACACGGCAAAACATTGGATTGCTGGTTTGCTCGCCCATGCCCGAGCGCTAACACCCCTGAGTGCTCCCACCGTCAACGGAATCAAGATGTTTGGTGCTTACCAACCGCCCAATCATAATGAACCTTCGTTCATTACCTGGGGCAGGTATAACCGCTCGGTTACCTTCCGCGTCAAGAGTAGCGGTGGACCAACAGGATCGTACATAGAGAATCGGCTCGGAAGAAGCGATGCAGATCCTTATCTGCTGCTTGCAGGTACCATAGCTGCAGGACTGGACGGCATCATCAACAAACTGACTCTGCCTTCGGAATGCACAGGGGACGCTCACACGGACATTCCACCCGGGACGCCAAGACTTCCATTTGAAATGGAAGAAGGAGTCACTGCTTTGGTGGAAGATAAGGTCCTCTGTGAAGCTCTCGGCAAGGACTTCGTTGATCTCATTGTCGCTTCGAGGAGGCATGAAATTGAACTGTACAATACAAACAAGACGGATATTTAAGACATTTTCCGTTATTATTACATCAACCCCTTTTGTATCAATCGAAGGAGAATATTGGTGTTGGTACGTCTTCTCGGTGGTGGGGAAGAAAAATATAGAAATATCGAATTCAATTAAATTTAATCCAGTACAATTCAATACAATACAATACAATACTAAACAATTCTACTAATGCAAGTATATAGTGACTTAAATATATCTGCAGAATAGGTCTGAACAAAATACTAAAAAGTGAAATAAATTTAAAATATGACAGTCAAGAAACAGGATCCGGAGACGAAGTTCACACATGATGTTATGCCCCAAACTTTTTAAACATGGATTTATAACATTTCTTACTTTCGCTTCTCCCACTAAAAGAGAAAATTTATATTCGGAATGAAAAAAGAAAGAAGGAGATGTCTACTCCAGCTAGAAAATTCTAAACAAAAGATCACATAGTGGATAATGCTGAAATGAGTTACAATTGATGAAATATTATTATATTGGTTATTTTACATATTTTGTTATTTTGAAGGTATATTGAATATTTATGTTTTTTATTTCGTTTTGTCCTGTTCATGCAAAATATTATAAAAAAAGACGCATATCAGTCCTTTTCAGGGCCGCTCGGCTACTGATTGAGAGCTTAGACAAACTAGTATTAAGTATTATATAAATATTACTATTAAAACTATTATCATTATCATTATATGGAGAATTGAATTTCATTGGTAATTCCTCAGTCAATAGTATATTTCATTTTTGTTTTATTATGGTAAGAATTAAAAAGAAATTATATTTCATTTCATGCTTCTATAAATTATCTGCATATAAATAAGTGATATGCACGTTTTTCATGAATTTTATTTTGGTTGGATTTTTATCATTATGCAGTTCTTAAAAATAAAAAATGTGAAAATTAAAAGAAAAAGATCTATAATGTATTAACGGTAAAGTATACAAAACACGTTTTTTTTACTAATGAAAGAATGAAAGGAAAGAAGGAGAAGAAGGATAAGATTATAGAAAGGGGATGATTATAGACTGAGGAAACTGGAGAGAAAGGAGAGAGAGAGAGAGAGATTGAGGGGGCGAGGGGAGATGGGGAGGGAAAGAGACGGAGAGAGAGGGAGAGAGAGAAAGACAGAGAAAGGGAGAGAGAGAAAGACAGAGAGAGAGAGAGAGAGAGAGGAAGAGAGAAGAGACAGAGAAGGCGGAGCGGAGATATAGAGACACAGAGGGAGGGGTGGGACGGGGGAGTGTACGTATGTGGGTGTGCGCGCGTGTGTGCGAGAGAGACGAAATTACCGTGCGTGTGTGTACGTGCGTGCCTGTGACAGAAATCAAGCGAAGGAGGGAGGAAGAATGAACAAGAGGGGAGGAGATATTTATAAAAAAACGAAAATAATTACACAATGAAATGATTGACAGGGGAAGGGGCGTTATCCTCCATCGCCTACCATCAAAAGCAACTCCCACTTATCCACTTGACATTAATGTGTCAACAAGCAGGTTCGATACAGCACTTCAAAACTTCAGATAATAATCAATAATAAATTTGGTCAACTGAAATCCGATCTTCGAGCTTTGCCGTTGGAGGTCGATAGTCCTTATGCTACCAAACTTGGGCTTTTCCACTGGCTGTATTCATTACACATAGATACTATTTCATGGACGATAGTTTTTTTTCTCAAGCAAACCTATGCCACAAGGCACTAGGTCAATATATTGATGTTGCCATTCATTACTTTGACCTACGCCGTTTTCTTGGTGGGTAAATGAGTAATTCATTGTTAAAGGTAGCCAAAACCTCTATACTAAGTTACTTTTATTGTAAAGTTTAAGATATTTGAACAAATCGGGCAAGGAATAAGGAAGTTAAAGCTTTTTGAAATGAATAGTCAATAGAGGGCGATACTCAATTTGATGACATCATTTGTGGACACCTGTCCATGCCTTTTGTACATGAAATTTTACAATTCTTTTGTTTTTTTTTCGTATTTATTTGTGTTCTTGATCCGACTTCATAACATGTGAAGTAGAATATTATTTTGCATTCTATACCTTGCTTTCAGGGGAGTAGATTACATGAAATTACATACAAAAGGCATGGAGAGTTGTCCACAAATGGTGTCATCAAGAAACAGGATCCGGAGACGAAGTTCACACATGATGTTATGCCCCAAACTTTTTAAACATGGATATATAACATTTCTTACTTTCGCTTCTCCCACTAAAAGAGAAAATTTAAATTCGGAATGAAACAAGAAAGAAGGAGATGTCTACTCCAGCTAGGAAATTCTAAACAAAAGATCACATAGTGGATAATGCTGAAATGAGTTACAATTGATGAATTATTATTATATTGGTTATTTTACATATTTTGTTATTTTGAAGGTATATTGAATATTTATGTTTTTTATTTCGTTTTGTTCTGTTCATGCAAAATATTATAAAAAGACGCATATCAGTCCTTTTCAGGGCCGCTCGGCTACTGATTGAGAGCTTAGACAAACTAGTATTAAACGTTATATAAAAATTACTATTAAAAATATTATTATTATCATTATATGGAGAATTGACTTTCATTGGTAATTACTCAGTCAATAGAATATTTCATTTTTTTTTCTATTACGGTAAGAATTAAGAAGAATATATATTTCATTTCATGCTTCTATAAATTATCTGTATATTATAAAAAAGTGATATGCACGTTTTTTATGAATTTTATTTTGGTTGGATTTTTATCATTATGCAGTTCTTAAAAATAAAAAATATGAAAATTAAAAGAATATTAAAGATCTATAATTTATTAACAGTAAAGTATACGAAACACGTTTTTTACTAATGAAAGAATGAAAGGAAAGAAGGAGAAGAAGGATAAGATTATAGAAAGGGGATGATTATAGACTGAGGAAACTGGAGAGAAAGAGAGAGAGAGAGAGAGAGAGAGAGAGAGAGAGAGAGAGAGAGAGAGAGAGAGAGAGAGAGATTGAGGGGGCGAGGGGAGATGGGGAGGGAAAGAGAGGGAGAGAGAGGGAGAGAGAGAAAGACAGAGAGAGGGAGAGAGAGAGGAAGAGAGAAGAGACATAGAAGGCGGAGCGGAGATATAGAGACACAGAGAGAGGGGTGGGACGGGGGAGTGTACGTATGTGGGTGTGCGCGCGTGTGTGCGAGAGAGACGAAATTACCATGCGTGTGTGTACGTGCGTGCCTGTGACAGAAATCAAGCGAAGGAGGGAGGAAGAATGAAAAAGAGGGGAGAAGATATTTATTAAAAAAACGAAAATAATTACACAATAAAATGATTGACAGGGGAAGGGGCGTTATCTCCTCCATCACCTACCATCAAAAGCAACTCCCACTTATCCACTTGACCAACATTGTGTCAACAAGCAGGTTCGATACAGCACTTCAAAACTTCAGATAATAATCAATACTAAATTTGGTCAACTGAAATCCGATCTTCGAGCTTTGCCGTTGGAGGTCGATAGTCCTTATGCTGCCAAACTTGGGCTTTTCCACTGGCTGTATTCATTACACATAGATACTATTTCATGGACGATAGTTTTTTTTTTCTCAAGCAAACCGATGCCACTAGGCACTAGGTCAATATATTGATGTTGCAATTCATTACTTTGACCTACGCCGTCTTCTTGGTGGGTAAATGAGTAATTCAATGTTAAAGGTAGCCAAAACCTTCATACTAAGTTACTTTTATTGTAAAGTTTAAGATATTTGAACAAATCGGGCAAGGAATAAGGAAGTTAAAGCTTTTCGAAATGATTAGTCAATAGAGGGCGATATTCAATTTGATGACATCATTTGTGTCCATGCCTTTTGTACATCATATTTCACAATTCTTTCGTTTTCTTCGTATTTATTTGTGTTCTTGATCCGACTTCATAACATGTGAAGTAACATATCATTATGCATTCTATACCTTGCTTTCAGGGGAGTAGATTATCTCAATCACAAGAAAGAAGGAAAAACATGAAATTTGATGTACAAAAGGCATGGAGAGTTGTCCACAAATTATGTCATCAAATTGAATATCGCCCTCTAGTGACTAGTCATTCTAAAAAGGTTTTAACTTCCTTATTCCTTCCCCGATTTTGTTCAAATTTTCACAGATTTTACTCAAATATCTTAAACTTTACAATAAAAGTAACTTAGTATGAAGGTTTTGGTTCCCTTTAGGCGTAAAATCTGGGCCTATTCGGGAGGGGGGGGGGGGGTGGGAGTCTAGATGGGGTCGGGGCGCTATACAACCCCCACCTGATCTCTATGTTTGAGGGATGGGAATGACATGTACATTATACCCCGATACCTTTCAAGAAAACAGTTGGTGAATCAATTAAATCAATCAGATGTTGAACAAGTCTGAAAGGGGTAATATACAGAGTGACACTGAAATAGTTCTACCTCAAGCTAGCTACAACCATGGACCTTTTACGGATGGACATTCAACGTGATTCTTTCTTTGATCCAATGATAGTCGCCGCCTTCTGATTATGTGCATCTTAATGAGAACATTCAGCTGTTTTAACAATATCGACTGCGTATAAGCATTTTCGGTCATTGACAAAGGAGCAGTTTCCCTCTCTTGGGTTTTGTTTGGATGGTGTGCTCTGTAAGAGTGTGTCTTAAATGAAAACATCCCCAATGGGGAGCAGCAAAGTTGAATAGCAGACGATGTTGGTGACATGAAATGTATTATTACTGATTCGCAAACTTTCGCACACACCTATGACCTTATAAAACAATTAGAAGGCCATGAACTGTATCCGCCCTGTACGTTGTAACTCTGGAATATTATGAGGAAATAGGGGGAAACGGGATTTTAAATCACAACCATTTCAACTATAAACTCTATCTAGTATATCAACATGTTTTTCAAAATAAAATACTGTACACGGAACAACAATTTCCGATTATAAGCCAGAACTGCACATCGATTTTCCATGATTTAGGCAAGTAATTATCTTCTGCGCATGTAGATTAACATGACTTTTTTTTGTAAAATCACTATCTTGATTCTGTCCCGGCTTTTTGGCGGTGACCATGATGAGATCAAAGTGAAGAAACATTTACGGAATGTTATTGAGACGAAATTGACGGAGACAATCACAATGAATTCGTTAAGAAAACGATGAATGTCCATCCGTAATAGGTCCATGCTACAATTAAAGTTGCAGCTTTGTATTCTCACTATAAATGTATACACGCATTCGTAGCAGGTGATGGAAATAATATTCAACGATGCATGGTAAAAGACGCATGCATTTAAATTGTTACAAAACACGATGTTAGCCTAAGGTCAACGCTTTATTATGAATATGACGAAAGTTATGCGGATTAGACAGATTTAAGTGCTTATCTGCATAATCTGTGTTCTTGATCACCGTTCCACTTCATAGTAATGGTGATATCTGGTATGCATTATTGATCACAGCCAAGAATTCCATAGGCCTACCTCTCGCGTAATTTTACACTATGTGAATTAACCAATGTGATTTATGTGAATA